AGCAACCTCCAACTCCTGGGCTCAAGCGAGTCTCCTGCCTCAGCCTCCCAAGTAGCTGGGACCACAGGCGCCCACCACAACGCCTGGCTATTTTTTTTTTGGTTGTAGCCATCATTGTTGTATGGTGGGCCTGGGCTGGATTTGAACCCGCCACCTTAGGTGTATGTGGCTGGCGCCTTAGCCTCTTGAGCCACAGGCGCCACGCCAGCATCTCTCTTTAACCTACAACTGTTCCCCATCTTCACAGGGCATCTTTAAGTGATCACTCCCTTATCACTCCTAGACATCTTCAGCTGAATTATAGGCCCAACTCCGTCTTCCCCTTCCTCTTCTCCTCTCCGTCTTATCTTCCTTCCCTAGGTACTTACGGCCAAAGCGCAGCTCATCACCCTTGCTGGTTTCTCCGTTGGCATATTTTGACTGTACCCAGCACTTCCAAGCATTGACACCATATGAATAGTTGAGTCCAGTACAACTAGGCTGGCTGCTCATGGAGTCCCTGGAACAGCTTTCTGAAAGCACCAGCCGCTTCTGACCCTGGAGGGAAAGAGAAAGGAAGCAGGTAGCAGAGGCAGGCCAGGGGTACCATGGAAACTAGTCAGCACAATGTTTACCACTGGGCAGGGGGACTGATGTAAAGACATAGCACAAAGCCCCAAGAACAGCTTTGACGGCCTTGTCAAGTAGGAGGCTATATCTCAGTTATATTCATGGTGTTGGAGAATAGAGTTATAGGGAAGGTTAAACTATGGTTAAATCATGGCTGTTGGCTTGACTACAAGAACCTTCCCCTCTTTGGGTCTCTATACTTCTTTTGTGGACATAGGAGTCCCAGCCCTCACCTTCCTCATGGTTCGGGGAAGGTCTTGTTCAGTAGACACATCTTCAGGCCCAACCAGGCCACAATCAAAGAGGAAGTCTACACTGGGGTTAATGTCCAAAGGATCTAATGAAAGGGAAAAAAAGAAGAAATCAATCTCTGAAGATCTCTGCATATCAAAGAGGATATTCTTCCTACACCACTCCTGCTACTTGCCCACTTAATTCAAAATGAACCTCTCAGACAGCTTCACTGGACTCAATAGGAGCCAGCAACACTATACAAAATAACATGCTCAGAGACACAAAAATACAAAACATAAACATTTACAATAATGTGAATATTTTCAACACCATTCAACTGTACACTTAGAAATGGTGAAGATGGTAAAATTTTGTTATGTGTTTTTTACCACAATTAACATTTTTTTAAAAATACACCAAACAAACAAAAAAGGCCCAGAAGTCTAAAACACTGCACTGTCCTGGTATCTCTAGTGCTACTCCTATGGGAACTTTGTGTCTTAGGGTCACAATGAGTACTATTTAGTGTCATGCTCAGGGACATAAGGAACACTGCCTTCCTGATGGCACAAATGCTATTGTACTCAGTGGACATGCTTCAAATCCTACTTACTCTTGGGGAAATCTGCTTCCAAGTCTTGTCCAGGCTCATCTAAGACATTGGCCATCTTGACAGCCATGGCCAGGACATCATCTCGAGCTGGCCCAAACAGGTCACAGTCCTCCAGAAGTCCCTCTGCACTCTGGTTGCTCACAAGATCTGGGAGGCAGAGGAGTTGGCTCAGTGGCTATAGTTCCTGCCTAACACCCTCACAGGCTTTCAGGGGCTGATCCCAACTATCCTTCCATTCCACTAGGTACCAAGATTACCAACTCTAACCCCTCAAGCAGACAGACTGGTAGCACTCTGTCTCCCTCATTGCTACCATCCATAGCATACCACAAAGGTCAGATGAAGCCTTGTCTAACTCCTCAGCCTCTGCAATCATTTCTGCCATAGCCAGGATGTCAGCCTCCAAGGGGTTGGAAGGGATCTTCACCTTCAGCTCCTCAATGGTTTCCACAATCTTGTCTGTGTTCTCCAAGGTAGTGGGCAAGAACATGGGCACAGGCACCTGGATGCACAAATCCCAACTAAATGCCAAGAACCATAGCAACAGATGAGAGGGACAGCTGATGAAAGTAAAGGGAAGGGGTAAGCTTCAAACCTGGAAGGGTAAAAAGGACCTAGCCAAGAAGGGTAGGGAAACTTACCGGGATAGGCATTGAGAAAGGCACCGGGACTTTCTGGCAGTACAGATGCATAGGCACTGGCACAAAGATGGGCACTGGGATGGGCAGCACGATCACTTGTGGCTTCCACTCTTCTACTGACAAGAAAGGGGTCTTCTCAGAGCCCCTGCTAAACCAGTCACATCTGACCCAGGACTTAATGCTTGCTTGCTACCCCCAAAAGGTCTAATATGTGCTCAGTGTCACAAAACCACCCTTGAATCAAAGGTTGAATGACAACTCTATGATTTTAGGACAACCCTATACATGATACTTTAGCCACTTAAGAAATCTCCTTGCCCAGCTCCTAGGACTCTAGAACATGTGGTGGTGTCTAGGCACCCTAGCTCACCTGTCTGACTCCCTTTGGACTTCATCTCCACCTTACAAGAGACTCCTCGATTCTGCATCAGTGGCTTACACATGGCAGCTTTGTTTTTGCGGGGTGTTGCTGGGGACGGTGGGGGTGGAGGAGGGGTGGGAGCAGTTGGAGCTGATCGGGTCTTTGCAGAGATCTGCAGAGACAAAGGAACCTTAGTGCCCCCAACTACAGTACTTTCCTCTGAGATTATCCTCCCCTTTGACTTTTGTCCTGACCTTGCCAAAATTCCCATTTTCCTCTGGGGTCCTCACTGTGTTGCTGTTCTCCACTTTGGTTTGAGAGGGTGTCTGGAGCTTTGACTCAGGAGACTGACCTGTAGATCAAAACAAATCAATGTTTTCATCCAAGGGACTAACTCTTTATTTTCCTCACCCCTGTTCCAGGAGAGCTTCATTAAGAGGTACACCAAATATAAACAGAAAGTCTAGGCTCAGCATGCGTAGCACAGTGGTTACTGCACCAGCTATATACACTGAAGGTGGCAGGTTTGAACCCAGCCTGGGCCAGCTAACCAACAATGACATCTACAACCAAAAATATAGCAGGCATTGTGGTGGGCGCCTATAGTCCCAGCTACTTGGGAGGCTGAGGCAAGAGAATCACTTGAGTCCAAGAGTTTGAGCTTGCTGTGAGCTGTGACACCATGGAACTCTACCAAAGGTGACACAGTGAGATTCTGTCTCAAAAAAAAAAATAATAAAAATAAAAATAAATGGGAAGTGTAGGATTTCCCCTCCTTGCCATCTCAGGTCTAGTGGTCTAGTCTTCTCTAGGCCCCTGCAATATTGGCCAGTAAGATTCTTCACTCCTGGTGGCCAAGAGGAACGAACATTACATTTTCCCCCAAAACCCACAGTTTGAGATCTTCCATTTACATGACCCCCAAGGAGTTTTGACATCCCTGGGGTTGCAGTAATATTCAAGAAACAACTACAGGAGCAGCACCTGTGGCTCAATGAGTAGGGTGCTGGCCCTATATACCAGGGTTCAAACCCAGCCCCGGCCAAACCACAATTAAAAATACCCAGGCGTTGTGGCAGGCGCCTGTAGGCCCAGCAACTTGGGAGGGTAAGGCAAGAGAATCGCCTAAGCCCAGGAATTGGAGGTTGCCGTGAGCTATGATGTCACAGCACTCTACCAAGGGCGACAAAGTGAGACTCTGTTTCTGAAAAAAAAAAAAAGAAAGAAAGGAAAAGAAACAACTATAGTCTTCAGTCTCAGTAAAGGTAGAGCTTATGCTGATACTTCCTTATTTCAGAGAACTAACCACAACCCCCATCCTACCTCAATAGGTACCTACTACCTAAAAATTCATCCTTTATTGAAAATCAGTAGAATCTAACTCCAAGATACTTTAAACAAGACTCCCCCTAGTACCTGTAGGGTCCAGAAGCTAAAAGAGAGCACAGTACCAGGAGCTCTGGCCAGGGATGAGGTGAATGCATAGTGGAAAAAGAAAGGAGCTGGGCCTAGGCTTAGAAGAGTCCAGGCTGGCTCCAACAAAATGTGCCTCCTGCCCCAGGACTCACTGTTCAGGAGGCTCTCAGGCCCACTCTGGGTATCCAAGTTGGGTTGGTTCTGCTGGCTATAGAAGCGCAACAGACACTGTTGGTTGCAGAAATGACGGATCTGCCCACGCCAGTGGATGGTCTCCAGCAGCTTCCCTTGGCGTTTACAGGCATGGCACCGAGCAGCCTGAGGGTATCAACAGGATGGTCAGATTTGCCTCCCTAAAATGTGCTGGGCCCTTTTCCCTGGGATAAGCCATGCTCTTCCCTTTGAAGATTGGGCCAGCTTGTTGATTGGAAATTGGCTCCCCTCCCTAGAGATCTGCCCACACCCTGATCTCAGAAAAACAGCCATGTTCCCTGCAGCCTTCTTTCCCTCCATGCTAATGTGCTGACCCTCCTTACCTTGCAGTACCACAGTAGGTACTTGCTCTTACAGTCCTCACTGCAAAAGTCCCAGGTGCTACCATCTAGTTGCTCAGTGACTCCCCGCTGGCAGGTCTGGGAGCAGTAAGTACAAGTGATACAGCATAAGCCCAGCTTCTTAGTGAAGTCCTGTTTATAGAGCAGCACACAGCCTGGAAAGAGGGGAAGAGGGGAAAAAAGTCCAGAGACACAAAGAAGCCCCAGAACATGAGATCCAACCTTTTCAATGTGAAACCCTTCTCTGAGACCAGGTGTAGTAGCTCATACCTGTAATCCTAGCACTCTGGGAGGCCAAGGCAGGTGGATTGCCTGAGCTCATGAGTTTGAGACCAGCCTGAGCAAGAGCGAGAGCCCATCTCTAAAAATAGCCGGGCATTGTGGTGCATGCCTATAGTCCCAGCTACTTGGGAGACTGAGGCAGGAGAATCATTTAAGCCTAGGAGTTAGAGGTTGCTGTGAGTTGTGACCCCATGGTACTCTACTGAGGGTGACAAAGTGAGACTCTGTCTCAAAAAAACAAACAAACAAACAAAAAACCTCTCTCTGAACAGCCCTTTGTGCCTAAAACCTTAAGATAGATGGGGACAAGAGCATTTTGAGCAGAGGTCCTGCCACATGGACTACTTTCTAAGCTTCCTTCACTTCTCCACCATTCTCCCTGGCTATGAGAAATAAGGCCTTTGCCCTTTCTCCATTTCCTTACCTTCACTGCAGAAGCTTTTCTCCACCCCACTGAAACGGAGTTTCTCATGCAAGAGTTTCTCCTGTCGACAATGCTCACACTGGGACACCACACCCCGAAGCCGCTTGAAGTCTTCACAGCAATCACGGCAGCAGAACTGGAACACCTGGTCCTAAGGTGGGGGCACAGGGTGGGGAGACAGAGCTATGACATCTGGACCTAGCAGGAACCAAGTGGAAGACCCCTTCAGATAGATGTCCAATCATATAGCAAGATGTGAGTGGGGATGGGGTCTTACCTGCCAGTCCAAGACCTCAGGTTTGCCACTGAAGAGACTATGGCAGTAGTGACAGCTCAGGTGAATGCCCCCCTCAGGGCTTGTGCGCTGGAGGGAAGGAAGACAAGTAAGGGAGGGGCAAGATGTGTGCAGTGGTAGCAGGGGAGTTGGGTTTCTTCTCGCTCTGCCCAGATCTACCTACCCCAATTCTCCTACCCTATGTTACCACACCCTTTTATCCCTTGTCCAGGGTCTGAAGTACCTGGAACTTGGTCCAGCAGCTGGGGCTGCAGAACTGGTAGACTGTGCGATCAACCTTGTTGTAGTAACAGGGGTCAGAGAGGCTGCGGCGGCAGAAGCTGCAGGGTCGGGGAGGGCCTGGGGCACAGAGAGAAAGAGAGAAAGAGAGAGAGGGAAATAGAAAGAGAAAAGAGAGAGGGGGAGGGAATCAGAGAGAGGGAGAGCACATAGGAAGTGTAAGGCAGTGCAGAGATGTAATAGAAAATCCATGGGAAGATGTGGTTAGGGCTGAGGTTGGGCAGCAGGGATTACTTTAGAAGAGGGGAGTATGGGAGGTAGAAGGAAGGCCAGCAGGGGTCTCGGAGAGGAGGGCTTTGCACCTACCAGTGAGCCCTGCCTGCTTCACTTTGTAAGAAGTGGTACAGCACAGGGAACAGAACAAGCTGGTCTTGCCATTACGATCCACATGTGATAGCATCTCAAAGTTCTTACACAGGGTCTTGCACCAGACACATGGGTACACACGTGTGTTTTTCTGCGAGGATGGGGAAGGAGAGGCTGAGGCTGGATTTGTCCCTTCACTTTTATTTTTTAAATTTTTTAAACATGAAATATTTCAGGCATACAAAAAAGTATAGATGATGAGATAACAAAGACCTATGTGTCCACCAGCCAGCTTCAAAAATAAAACATAACAAATACAATTGAAACCCCCTTTATTTGTTTTATTTCTCCCAGCCCTCGACCCATCCAGCACCTTTATTTATCACCCAAGAGCCACACCCCCTTCCACAGCCCTCTAACACACTACTCCCTCGGCCCCACCTTCTTGTATGCCCCTAAGCAGGTTGTGTTGCAGAACCGCTTTTGTTGGCCCTCATGGAAGAGAAGCTCGGGGCCAGGGCTCCCGGTCTTGGTATAGATGTAAGCCCCACACTGGTCACAACAGTTGGTTTTCAGTCCCTTGTTGGCCCGGAATTTGGAGAAGCAAGAATCGCTGCAAAGCCGGTGCACCACGCTGCCATTGCTGACCTCATGCAGGACCTGCCACATACACACACACACACACACTGAGCTGGGGCTTGGCCACCACCGCCCACCCCAATACAAGGACAGCCCCCACCTCACCCTAGACCTTCACAGCAGACAGTGGGCCCAGGGACCCCCCCAACCTGCGCATCAGGCTGCCGACTTGATGGTGAGGTCCTGGGAGGCAAGGGAGGTCAGCTGCATACATCCTGGAGAGGCTCTATCCTTGAATAAGCTCCCTCATGATGGCTGCCTTTCCTCCCACTCCCCTTTTCCACAGGGCCTGACCCCTGCAGCCCCAGGATTGGAGGGGCAAGTCAGGGCTGATCAGGCTCTGTAAATTAGCCCCCACTGAGTGTCCTTACCTCTCCAGTCTTCTGGCATATGCTGCAGCGAGTGGCATCAGCGGGATCCCCAGACTGGGGGATTGGGCGCTGCTGCTGAGCCTCATACAAGGAGAGACACACTGATGTGCAGAACTCATGGAAAGAGCCACCTGAACCAGTCTGTGCCACAACTGACTCCTTGGTGTTCCAGATCTCCCTAGAAGTAGGAAGAGATTTGAAAATTCACTCAGGATCACATTCTCATTTCATCAACTTCCACCCTTCCTCTAGGATCAATGACTACAGAGCCAAATAGTCTGGCTGTCCCTGAATTGCTCTCCCAGATCCATTCTGCTAAGTTCTTACCAACACAGTATCTTACCCATACTCCCACCCTGATCCCTGCCCCTCAACCCCAGGACCCTCACGCACTTCTTGCAGAAGGTACAGGTCTTTTTGCCTGAGGGCTTCTTGGAGAAAGTGGTGAGACAAGATGAAGAGCAAAAGAGCTGAGGTAGCCCCTTGCGCTGATAGGCTGTCTGGCCCTTCTGCAGTGGTGTCCGGCAATGTGCACAAGTCATCTTAGTGCCCATTGCAGAGCGCCCAGCCCTTTGTGCCACGCTTGAGCGTAGGGACATGCGAGGAGAGCGTCGGGGCCGGAATGGCACAAAGTCCTCATCATTGGGGTCATCTACCATGGCATCAGAATCTTCATCTGACACTGGAACTGAGGAAGTAGGGGGGAGGCATGAAAAAAGGCCACCAGACCTGGTCTCCAGCCATTGCATGACCAACAATTCAATCCCTATCCTGGTATCCCTATTGTTCTGGCCTTTATACCTTCACCCCTATTACACTGGTATCTTAAACCACTGATGGCTCTCTCCCTTGGTTACTCTGTAATCTCCCAGGGCAAGGATGGGAAGGGCTCTAAGTGAGAAGATTTGGATGGCATAGCTGAAACAGGCAACTCTCCATTTTTACTGCTCTTGTTTTCAATTTCCCCCATTGCCCCTGGTTCCCATGCCAACCCATAGTGGAAGAGATAGGCACTTCACACTCTGCATGAAGTGGGACTACAGGAGCTTGGAAGACCCATGACCTGCTACATATTTCTTTCCACTCTTCTCCACACTCAGAATTCCCAGGTCACACTTCCTCAAATCCTACTTACTGCTCTCAGTGGAATCCACAACCTCAGGTTTTGGAGGCTCTGCTCTTCTAACGCGCTCGCTTCTCTTCTGTACCTTGGAAAAAGGGGAGGGGAGGAAAGCTGACACCAGGGGCAGGCTAACACCAGTACAGTGTTTGCAGGGGGGATAGGTCATAGGAGGGGGAGGAAGAGAAGGGACCCTTAGCCCAGCCCTTAAGAGGAGAGGTGAAAAGAAGGCTGGACTTTCTCCCTAAGAAGCAGGAGACACAAGAGCTCCCTCCCTCCTCCTAATTCTCCTTATACACACTCTCCACAGAACAACATCTGGGAGGGAAAATGAAGGGTCTGTCCTTCCCAGAGCTATAGGGGAAACCAGACTGCTTCCGATCCCCTCCCCCCCTCACCCTCTCAGGCGGCTTCTCATTCCCCTTCCCAGTTAGGCCATCTCCTGCAAAGGAAGCAAAAGGCAGCCTTAATGTTGAGCCTGTCCTCACCACCCCTCCCTGATCCGCCCCCGCCTCCATTCCTAGGGAAGAACTTACTCAAAACTGAAAGGGAAAACACGAGTGCAAGTGCCTGTGGCTTCTTGGGGCCCATCTCAGGGTTACTTCAGGCACTGCACTAAGGGGGAGGGGGCGTGCAGCTATTTTCCACCAAAAAGAAAAAAAAAATCTACCCTTCCCACCAGCTTTCTGTCCTAATCCTTGGGAGTTAAGGAAACACAGGTAACACACCTTTCATTTAGAATTTATGTTTTGCCAACCTAAAACAAACATAACCACCCAAAGGTAGCAAGAGGAAAAGGAAGCATCAACGTATGGGTATGTTCCTCAGGACTTGGGTACTTATATAAGTCCCAAGACCCTGGTCACAGCCTAGGAGAGGCATACCATGAGGCAAAACATGGGAGAAACCACAGCACCCTCAAATCTAGGCTGTCTTCCCTCTATTAGTGACTCAATCCTAGGCCCTGCATTTATACCATTCTCCTGAAATCATTATGTTGTTGGGGGCTCCAGAACCTAGTTACCATTCATCAAACCCAGAAACCCCACTCCCATGTGGAACCAAAAAGCTGGAAAGATCTTAGAACCAAGAAGCCTAGTGTACTCCTCCAAATTCCAAAGGAAGAACTATGGCATCAAAAGCCCACTGGGGTTAAAAAAAAGGGAACTTTCCCCCCAGATTGATTTCTTCCAAGCCATTCACAGAAACCTTACCCCATTCCTTCCACAGAGGCCTCCTGCTGCCCCCTACTCCTTCTTTCCTTAATCTTCTTTGACACGTATCCCCCCATTCCTCCCTCCCAAACTCGAACTCCTTCCCCATACATTATCCCTACTCTTATCTCTCCATCTTCCTCCTCCTCACCTCTACTTCCCAAAACTCACAGATACCCCTCCATACTCCCACCCTCTACCCAGCCTTGATTCTCCAGACAATTAGGCAACCTACCTGGCAAGGAAGGATGTGCAGGGGGGCTAGAGCCCCCAGGTTTGGTCTGAGAATTGTTGATTCCATCCCCCAGAGTCTCTCCCACCGAAGGGCTAGGGGGACCATTTGGGCTCTGTGGCTGCCCTTGGGGAAGCTCCTCCTCCTGCCTAGGAGAGCCCCTTCTGGTGGTAGTTATGGAGGTTGTGTCCTCCTCTTCAATGTGGGGAGACTGCAGGGTTATTGGAGAATCTGGAGCCAAAGGCTCTAGTAGCCCCTCAGGTGAAGAAGTATTTTCCCCAGCCCCTGGGTCAGGTGGCACCACCTCAGGGGTCTGGCCCCCTGGTCCAGGTTCTAGGGTCTGATCCCCTGCATCCCAGGCAAGGGTTCCTTCAGGACCATGGTCCACCTCTGGGGGAGAGGGGGCTTTATAGAGCAGCCCCCCCAACCCCAGTAGCTCAGTGGCTCCATCCAGAACTCCAGGGTCTTTTTCCAGGCCAGCAGAAGTATCAAGCAGGTCCAGGGCGCCCGAGGAGGGAGAAGGGCCAGGGGGGGCCCATCCTCGAGTTGGGGCAGTCTGGGATTCCAGTAGATCCTCTCCAAATTCCATGTCTACTGGAAGGTCTCCAGCCAGGGGCTTCTCTGGCAGGGTCAATGGATCAAATGGACTGGGGAAATCACTGGGGTCCATGAGGATGGCTGGATATGGGCTGCAGATTAGGAGTAAGAAGAGGAGGCAGTAGAGGTGGTCTTAGCCAGAGTTGTTCTTATATAGGCTCTGGGACACACCCCATCATCCACTTAAATTTATCACGAACAGTCCCCACCAAAAACCGACAAGCATTTCCACAGGCTTTAGTCCTAAAGACCACTCCCCCCCCATACAGCGCCCCCTGTGGGGAGAGGCGTTCCCCGCCCTGGCCCAGTGCCCACACTCACCAGGCAGACAGTCGTTCCACCACCCGCCCCCCACACAGCAACTCACAGCTCCCCTCCCCCCTTACCTTTCACTCCCCCCCAACTAGAGCTCAACGCCCCCTTAGAGTCTCCTAGGGCCGTCGCCACCAGGAGCTTTACCCGCCCCCACGATCTCAGTTTCTATTCCCTCCACACTCCCCGAGAGACCTCCGGCTCCCTAGTCTTCACCCACCCTGTTTGGCCCCACTCCTCCTCCCCTCGTTACAGGGTCCTCCCTCAGCCCTTCCCCCGCCCCCACAAACTGCCCTTCCTAACCCCTTCCACCCTAGTTACCTTTTGGGGTCGCCCACTTCCTTAGCCCCATCACCCTTTCCTATGGGTCCCCCCAGTCCTTCCTTCTCCTGTTGCCCACCCCCCACCTCAGGCATTTACAGGAAGACATTTTGGAGCTACGATCTCTCCTTAGACCCCCTCCCGGTTACTGCGAGATCCTCCAGCAGGTTCGGTTCGGCTTGATCAGGCCCGACCCCTACCTGCGGCAGGGTTAGTGTAACCGCTACAAGCTTAGAACTGCAGACAGCGACGGCCTCACGCTCCTTCTCCACCTCCCTCCCTGGCAGCCGGGACAGGGGTCGCGGCCCCTTTAAATGGCAACGCCGTTCGCCGCGACTAGCGCTCTGCACCAGGCGGGCGGGCGGTGCCAGCAAACAACCCCATTGGCTGGCTTAAGGAGGGGGCTCGCGAGACAGCGCCGGCCCCCGGCGCGAGACTCCCAGCCCAGTGGCCTCCTGGAAATTGCGGAGTGGAGTATAGTCATTGGAGATGGAGCGTGAGCCCCCGCCCGGGGCCCCGTTAGTTGAGCAGGAAAAGATAGCCTCTGAAGCTTTGAAGCCCGCCCCCAGGAAAGACGGCGTCCTCTTTCCATCAAAGGGCCAGAGTACAGTAACCTACAAAAACACAGACCTACGCACCTGCTTCCCTTACCTGGCTCAACAGTCTGACCCCCGTCAACACCCGTGCCCGCCCTACCTCCGGTAGCCCACTCTACCCGTGATCCCCTCCTCTCATTCAAATGGTTCCCGGTCCCCTCCCCCTCCCCGTGTCTCTTCGTTTCCCACTCGTGTTCAACAGCCCTCCCCGCGTCCGCCCCCTTCAACAGTCCCTACCTACGCCATGCAGCAGGCGCCTGCCAAGATTACCCTGCCCCCATCCCCACCTCTTCGAGGCCCGCCCCCTGGGCGACTGTTGGGGTAGTGAGTGACAGCGGAGGATGGGGGAAGTCAGGCACCCAGCCCTCACGTGCCCCTCCTCCCCTTGTCTGCAGCCTAGGGCCCCCTCACCAGTCTTAGAGTCATAGTTATGGGGTGCCTTAAGCTTGGTCACTAGAGACCCAGAGAGGGTTAAATGGTTGTAGCTCACTGACAACGCCTATGCAGTAACCGTTACTGCTTGATGACCCCTAAACCAGGTACTGCAAAGCTACCCCCCCCACACACACACTCTCAATGGTTTTAGGGTAAGTTCTGGGCTACTCTCTCTGAGTCTTCCTGCAGGAGCTTCCTGCATTATCTCCTGAGTAGTTTTCCTCCCTCGTCAGGGCTGGTAGTTCACTCGCGCTCTCTCTTCCTTCCACCCTCCCTCCCTCTTTAAGTCCCTGTCTATATGTCTCTGTCTTTCCCCTCTCTCTTTCTCTCCCTCTGTCTCTTTTTGTCTCAGTCTCTGTATCTCTGCTGCTCCTACGCACGAGCGCGCACGCGCGATAACACACTCACTGCTCCCCCGCCCGGACGGTCCTTAGCATGTGGGTGTGGCTGAGGTTAAGGCTATAGAAGTGGAGTAGGGGTAGGTGACACTACCTCTGGGCCCACTGGCTTTAAAAAATGTGTGCCAGGATCCATTCCCAGTCCTCCTTATAGTTAGAGCACTTTATAATCCCTGCTCCCTATGTTCCCTAAGTGCTGAAAAGCATTTAGTAGCTGGGTACTAGAGAAGACTCAGGCTGTAAGGAAGTCCCTTTAGAAATATGAAGGCTTGATATGCACTGCCTTCTTTAGCCTGCTTCTTTGACCTCTGGCTTTTCCTCCTTCCTACAGTAAGCCTTTACTAACCATGTAGTCCTGGGGAGTTTTATCCTCCCTTTTTTTCAGTAACCTTCCCAGAAACCTTATCCTTCCTAGCTCCCCACATGGCCTTGAGATTATTGTTGCTCTCCTCTATATACTGAGATAAAAGAGTTTTTCTCCTTTAAGTTTCCCAAACCCAGCTTTCTCTTTATCTTAACCAATATTCCGTGTGCCTATCTCCCACCTTCTGCTTATTTCTAACCTTGTACCTCCCTTTTGCATTTTCTATTTGTTCTATCTCAGTTGGGCCTCCTCCTTCTTTTCTATTGTCTGCCCTCAACACTTGCTTGGATCTCTGGCTGCTCTGGTTGTGGAGAGTGCTTGGTCACTAGCTTTAAAGTTTAGGAAGGACAATCTAAGGTGAGGTAAATGGTGTGATATTCATTCTACAGGCAGTATGGTGGCAGGCATAGGAGTGGGTTCTGGAGTCAGACCAGATTATTTTTTTTAAACAGAGTCTCACTACATTGCCCTCGGTAGAGTGCTGTGGCGTCACTGCTCACAGCAACCTCAAACTCTTGGGCTCAAGTGATTCTCTTGCCTCTGCCTCCCAAGTGGCTGGGACTACAGGTGCCCACCACAATGCCCAGCTATTTTTTGTTGAGGGAGGGTTGTAGTTGTCGTTGTTTAGCTGGCCCGGGCTGGGTTGGAACCCGCTAGCACTGGTGCTTGTGGCCGGCACCCTAACCACTGAGTAACGCACACCAAACCCAGACCAGATTATTTTATTTTTTTGTAGAGACAGAGTCTCACTTTATTGCCCTGGGTAGAGTGCTGTGGTGTCACACAGCTCACAGCAACCTCCAACTCCTGGGCTTAGGCCATTCTCTTGCATCGGCCTCCTGAATAACTGGGACTACAGGCACCCACCAAAAGGCCCAGCTATTTTTTTGTTGCAGTTTGTCTGGGGCCGAGTTTGAACTTGCCACCTTTGGTATATGGGGTGGGCGCACTACCCACTGAGCCACAGGTGCCACCCAGCCAACTTATTTTTTCTTGAGACAGAGCCTCAAGCTGTTGCCCTCGGTAGAGTGCTGTGGCATCACAGCTCACAGCAACCTCCAACTCCTGGACTTAAGAGATTCCCTTGACTCAGCCTCCCTAGTAGCTGGGACTATAGGCACCCGCCACAATGCCCAGCTACCAGACCAGATTTCTAATCTCAACTCTGCTTACTCCTTAGCCAGGTGACTTTGGACAAGTCACTGAAGTCACTGAGCCTTTGTTTTCTCACCTTTAAAACACAAATGAGGGCGGCACCTGTGGCTCCCTGGGTAGGGTGCTGGACTCATATACCAAGGGTGGTGGGTTCAAACCCAGCCCCAGCCAAATTGCAACAAAAAAAATAGCCAGGCCTTGTGGCAGGCACCTGTAGTCCCAGCTACTCGGGAGGCTGAGGCAAAAAAAATCCCCTAAGCCCAGGAGTTGGATGTTGTTGTGAGCTGTGTAATGCCACACTCTACCAAAGGTGATAAAGTAAGACTGTCTCTACGAAAAATAAAAATAAAAAAACACAGATAAGAAACAAAATCTCAATGTCCAATACAAGGGGATCAATTAAATAAATTCTGGTTATATTCGTGCAGTGGATGTAGTCCTTAACCACCACATTTCTTTTTCTTTGAGACAGAGTCTCACTCTGTTGCCCATGCTAGAATGCCAGGGTGTCAGCCTAACTCATATAGCAACCTCAAAATCCTGGCTTTAAGTGATACTGCTGCCTCAGCCTCAGGAGTAGCTAGGAGTACCTGCACCCATCACAACTGGCTAACATTTTTTCTATTTTGAGTAGAGACAGGGTCAAACTTTTGCTTAGACTGGTCTCGAACTCCTGAGCTGAAGGGATCCTCCCACTTTGGCCTTCCAGAGTGATAGGATTACAGGCATGAGCCACCTCACCTGGCCTACAACCACATTTAAATAAATAAAAAACAAGGCAGCACCTGCAGCTCAAAGGAGCAGGGCGCCAGCCCCATATATCAGAGGTGGTGGGTTCAAACCCGGCCCTAGCCTAAAAAATAATTGCCAAAATCAGAGGCTAGGTATGGTGGCTCACGCCTGTAATCCTAGCACTCTGGGAGGCCAAAGCAAGCGGATTGCTCTAAAAATAGGCAGGCTTTGTGACTGGCTGAGTAATCCCAGCTACTCAGGAAGCTGAGGCTGAAGTTGCTGTGAGCTATGAGGCCAGTGCACTCCACCCAGGGCAACAAAGTGAGACTATGTCTGAAAATAAAATCAAAGGTAATGAAACTACTCCGTATGATGCGTTCATGGTAGATATATGTCAGTGTACATTATATTTGTTCAAACTTATAGAATGCATAACATCAAGAGTGAACTTTGGTTAGTAGTGATATATCACCATAGGTTCACTGATTGTAACAAATTTACTGCTCTTGTCAGGATGTTGATAGTCTGCAAGAGAAGCTTTGCCTGCTGTTGGAAGCAAAAGGCATATGGAAAATCTTTGTACCTACCTATCAGTATTGCTGTGAACTTAAAACTTCTCTTAAAAAAAACTCTATATTTAAAAAAATTAAAACCCTCAAAATGTACAGCAACAAAAGAGAACCCTTATGTGAAAAATGGGCTTTGTTTGATAATGACCTGTGGGTGTAAGTCCATTATTGTAACAAATGTACCAAACTGGCACAAGATGTTGACAGTCTTGCAGGCTATGCCTGTATGGGAGTAGGATGTGTGTGGGAACTCTTGATACTTTCAGCTCAATTTTGCAGTGAACCCAAAACCTGCTCTAAAAAATAAAGTCTGGCTTGGCTCCTGTGGCTCAGTGGTTAGGGCGCCGAAGCTGTCGGGTTCGAACCTGGCCTGGGCCTGCTAAACAAAAATGACAACTACAACCAAAAAAATAGCTGGGTGTTGTGGCGGGACTCCAGCTACTTCAGAGGCTGAGGCAAAAGAATCGCTTGGGCCCAAGAGTTTCAGGTTGCTACGAGCTGTGACGCCACAGCACTCTACCCGGGGAGACATGGTGAGACTCTGTCTCAAAAAAAAAATTTATTGGGGCATTTGCATTTATCATTCATATTTATTTTAATAGGTTTTCTTTTATTTTTTTTTCTTTTTGAGAGTCTCACTTTTTCACCCTCGGTTATCTGGATGGCACCTGAACCACTGAGCAACGGGCACCGAGCCTAAAATTAATTTTTAAAGGAGTTAAATGTGACCCTAATTATGTAGAGAAGAATTCTGTATACATGTATGCATGGGAAAGGACTGGAAGTAAATACTCCAAATGTCAAGGATAATTATCTCACTGGGCTTGGTGGCTAATGCCTATAATCATACCACTTTGGGAGACTGAGGTGGGAGAATGATTTGAGTGATTCTGTGTTTAAGATCAGGCAGAGCAAAAGCCAGTCCACAGTTCTACTAAAAATAGAAAAATTAGTGGTTGCCTGTATTCTCAGCTACTTGGGAGGCTAATGTAGGAGGATCACTTGAGCCCAGGAGTTGAGGTTGCTGTGAACTAAGCTGAAGCCCTGGCACTTAGTCTGGCCTGAAACAATACACTCTGTCTCAAAAAAAAAGAAGAAGAAGAATTATCTCTGTGAACTGGGAATATA